GTTTCTGATGTTCTGGATGTACCGAGTACACTACAAAGATAATCTCCACGGACTCTACTGGTGGACTTGAGACTGTGACTGGTAAAATCGATGTTACTACGAACTCAAATGGCGTTTTGGTCACACTGACTTCTGTCCTTTCGGAATGTTCTGGATGTTCAGAATACACCACAACTTTTACTTCTGCAGATTCCTCCGGTGGAATTGATACTTTTACTGGTGTGGTCGACGTGACTACAAACTCAAACGGAGCTTTGACTACCACAACGTCAGTTATCTCTAGATCTGCAGCTTCTGTATGTTCTGGTTGTACAGAATTCACTTCAACCTTCACTTCTCTTGATGCCCAAAGCTCGCTTGTGACCTTCACCGGTATCATTGATGTAACTACAAACTCCAACGGTATTTTGACCACCCGAACATCTGTTCTTCCTGAATCAGCATCATCCGAATGTTCTGGTTGCACAGAGTACACTACAACGTTCACTTCGCTCAACTCAGAAAGCTCTCTTGCTACTTTCACGGGTGTCGTTGACATCACTACAAACTCCAATGGCATTTTGACTACGCTGACATCTGTTATTGCCGCTTCTGGTACCCCATGTTCTGGATGCGCAAAGTATACAACGACTTTTACTTCTGCTGATCCCACTGGAGGATTTGGAACTTTCACCGGTGTCGTTGACGTCACCACCAATTCGAACGGTATTTTGACCACTCTGACTTCTGTTGCATCGGCATCCACATGTTCTGGATGCACAAAATACACCACGACCATCATCTCCGCTGATTCTACTGGTGGTGTGGCTACATTCACAGATATCGTCGATGTGACAACCAATTCGAACGGAGTCTTGACAACCAGAACATCTGTGCTTCCACGATCCGCTTCAGATTGCTCTGGATGTACTAAGTATACCACCACTTACACCTCTGCTGACCCTACTGGAGGAACAGCGACTGTTACTGGTATTGTCGATGTTACCACAAACTCGAATGGTAATTTGGTAACTCTGACTTCTGTTCTTTCTGATGCATCCTCTTCCGGATCTTCTTCCGAATGTTCAGGATGCACAGAATATACCACTACATTTGAAACTACAGACTCTACTGGAGGAGTTGAGACATTGACAGGCGAAGTTGATATTACCACAAACTCCAACGGTGTTTTAATAACTCTGACTTCTGTTCTTACAAGAGCGTCATCTTTTGGCTCCGCTTCTAAATGTTCTGGATGCACTGAGTATACCACTACATTCACTTCACTCAATGCTAAAAGTTCCCTAGTTACTTTGACCGGAGAAGTTGACGTTACTACCAATTCTAACGGTGTTTTGATTACACTGACTTCCGTTATTTCTGATGCATCCTCCTCTGCTTCTTCCGAATGTTCGAGATGTACAGAATATACCACTACATTTGAAACTACAGACTCTACTGGAGGTGTCAAAACTTTAACAGGTGAAGTCGATGTTACCACAAATTCTTATGGTGCTTTGGTGACTCTGACGTCCATTATTTCTGATACAACTTCCTCTGAATGTTCTGGATGTACCGAGTACACCACGACTTTTGCTTCCACTGATTCTACCGGTGGAGTTCAGACATTGACGGGCGAAGTCGATGCTACTACCAACTCCAATGGTGTCTTGGTGACACTGACCTCTATCATCTCTGATCTGTCTTCTTCTGGTTCTTCTGTCGAATGCTCTGGATGTACTGAGTACACCACTACATTCGTATCCAGTGACTCTACTGGCGGATTGGAAACTTTGACAGGTGAAGTTGATATTACCACAAATTCGAATGGCGTTTTGATCACTCTGACATCTGTTATTTCCAGAGCTTCGTCTTCTTCTGTATGCTCCGGATGCACCGAATACACTACCACATTCACATCCAGTGACTCTACAGGTGGAGTTGAAACATTGACAGGTGAAGTTGATATCACCACAAATTCAAATGGTGTCTTGGTGACTCTGACTTCCATTCTTTCAGATGCATCTCCTTCTGAATGTTCTGGATGCACGGAATATACAACTACATTCACTTCCCTCAATGGTGCTGGATCTTTTGAAACTTATACAGGCGAAGTTGACGTCACTACCAATTCCAACGGTGTTTTAGTAACACTGACGTCTGTACTTTCTGATCCATCAACTTCTTCCGAATGTTCTGGGTGCACCGAATACACCACGACTTTCACTTCCACAGATTCTACAGGTGGAGTTGAGACATTAATAGGTGAAGTCGATGTCTCTACTAATTCCAACGGTGTTTTAGTAACACTGACTTCCGTTATTTCCGTTGCATCATCTTCTGCTTCTTCTAAATGTCCTAGGTGCACAGAATACACCACTACATTTGTAACCACAGACTCGACTGGTGGTGTTGAAACTTACACTGGAGTCGTTGATGTTACTACCAATTCTAACGGAGCCTTGGCTACTCTGACTTCTGCTCTTTCAAAATGTTTTGGATGTACTCAGTACACAACAACTCTTACTTCTGCAGACTCTACAGGCGGAACTGCCACTTTCACTGGTGAAGTCGAGGTCACTACAAATTCAGACGGTGCCTTGACTACCAGGACTTCTCTTCTTTCTCCATCATCCAAATGTTCTGGATGTACAGAGCACACTACAACATTCACTTCTCTCAACTCAGATAACTCTCTTGCTACCTTCACAGGTGTTGTTGGTATCACCACAAACTCTGATGGCGTTTTGACCACCCTGACGTCTGTCATTTCTGACTCTGAATGCTCTGGATGCACCGAATACACTACCACTTTCACCTCTGCAGACTCAACTGGAGGGATCGGAACTTTCACTGGTGTTGTTGGCGTCACAACCAAATCTGATGGTGCTTTGACTACTCTGACTTCTGTTATTTCGAAATGTTCCGGATGCACAGAGTACACCACCACATTTACCACCATTGATGCTCAAAGTTCTCTTGTTACGTTGACTGGTGAAGTCGAAGTTACTACAAACTCCAATGGTGTTTTGGTGACTCTGACTTCTGTTCTTTCTGACCCTTCGTCTTCTTCGGAGTGTTCTGGGTGTACTGAGTACACTACAACCTTGATTTCAACTGACTCAACCGGTGGAGCAAATACTGTTACAGGTGAAGTTATTGTTACGACAAACTCGAATGGTGCTTTGACTACGCTGACTTCTGTTATTGCAGAATCCGTGTGTTCTGGATGTACCAAATACACTACTACTTTCACCTCTGCTGATCCTACTGGGGGTGTTGCTACAATGACAGGAGTTGTTGATGTGACTACCAACGCAAATGGTGCATTAACCACCAGAACTTCGGTTATGCCAAAATCTTCTGAGTGTTCTGAATGTACGGAGTATACCACAACACTCACCTCTGCCGATTCGACAGGTGGAGTTGGAACTGTCACTGCTGTCGTTGGCGTTACCACAAACTCGAATGGTGCATTAACCACCAGGACATCTGTGCTTGCTGCTTTTGAATGTATTGGATGCACAGCTTACACTACAACCTTCACTTCTGCTGATTCCACTGGAGGAAGTGCAACTCTCACTGCTGTTGTTGATATTACCACAAACTCGAATAATGCTTTGACTACTACTACGTCTGTTATTCGAGGACCAGCGGCGTCTGAGTGTCCTGGATGTACGATATACACCACAACTTTTACTTCTGCCGATTCTACAGGCGGAGTAGCAACTCTTACTGGTGTGGTTGGTGTCACGACAAATTCAAACGGTGCCTTGACCACAAGTACGTCTGTGCTTGGTTCTCCTTCTGAATGTTCTGGGTGTACTCATTATACCACAACTCTCACCTCTGGTGATTCCACTGGAGGATTAGCAACAATTACTGGTGTCGTTGACGTCACGACTAACTCGAATGGTATCTTGACTACTAGGACGTCCACGTTATCTGGCTCTAGTCCTTCTCAGTGCTCTGGATGTACAGAGTATACTACGACATTCACGTCAGCGGATTCTACAGGAGGAACTAAAACTTTCACCGGCGTGGTTGATGTAACTACCAATGCCATTGGAGTTTTGACGACTCTGACTTCTGTTCTATCAGCTTCCACAACTGGATGTGTCGGATGCTCCGAGTATACTACAACATTCACATCCGCTGACCCCAAAGGAGGTCTTGCCACTTTCACTGGTGTTGTTGATGTAACTACAAATTCGAACGGTGCGTTGACTACGCTGACTTCTCTTATTGGTGCCTCTGAATGTTCTGCTTGCACCAAGTACACTACTACGTTCACTTCGCTTGATTCTGAAAGTTCTCTTGCCACCTTTACCGGTGTTGTTGACGTTACTACAAATTCAAACGGAGTTTTAATAACCAGAACGTCAGCTATTCCTGAATCTGCAACTACTGAATGCGTTGGGTGTACCGAGTATACTACAACTTTTACCTCAGCAGGTTCTTCTGGAGGAACCGCCACTTTTACTGGTGTTGTTGATGTTACTACAAATTCAATCGGAGCTTTAACAACCAGAACGTCAGTTGTTCCTAGATCTGCAGCAACCGCATGTGTTGGATGTACCAAGTACACTACAACATTCTCGTCAACAGACCCTAATAGCGGCCTAGCTGATTTCACTGGTGTCGTTGATGTTACCACCAATTCTAATGGAGTTTTAACTACCCTGACTTCTGTGATTGGCGGATGTTCAGGATGTACTGAGTACACAACAACATTCACTTCTGCAGACCCTACTGGTGGAATTCAAACTCTAACTGGTGAAGTTGTTGTTACTACCAATTCTATTGGTGCTTTGACTACTCTGACTTCTGTTATTTCTGAATGTTCTGGCTGTACTGAGTACACCACTACATTCATGTCGACTGACTCTACTGGTGGATTGGAAACCTTAACTGGTGAAGTCATTGTCACCACGAACTCAAATGGGGCATTGACTACGCTGACTTCTGTCATTCCTGGATGTGTTGGATGCACTGAGTACACCACATCTTTCACTTCCCTTGATGCAGCTAACTCACCTGTTACTCTTTCTGGTATTGTTGATGTGACTACAGACTCTAACGGAATCTTGACTACGAGAACGTCTGTTCTTGCTGCTTCTGCTTCCGAATGTTCTGGTTGTACTAAGTACACCACAACTTTGACGTCAACGGACTCTAATGGAAGTGACACCACATTCACTGGAATAGTTGATGTAACTACGAATTCAAATGGTGCTTTGACGACTTCGACATCAGTTATTCCTGCTACTGTTTGTTCTGGATGCACCCAATACACCACCACATTTACTTCTACAAATCCTACTGGCGGATTAGATACGCTTACAGGTGTTGTTGACGTGACCACTAACTCCAACGGTGCATTGACCACTAGAACTTCTATCATTTCTGGATCTGTTTGTTCTGCATGCGCTGAATATACTACGGTGTTCACCTCAACAGACTCGACTGGTGGTATTGGAACCTACACTGGAGTTGTTGGCGTTACGACCAACTCCAACGGAATTTTGACCACTCTGACTTCTGTTGATCCTGCTTCTGCCTGCGTTGGTTGTACCGAGTACACTACTACGTTTATTACTACAGACTCCACAGGAGGAATTGCTACTGTCACTGGAGTCGTTGACGTGACTACTAATTCTATTGGTGCTTTAACAACTTCAACGTCGGTTATTCCTGGCTCTAGTTCTGGTTGTGTTGAGTGCACCGAGTATACTACAACTTTCTCTTCTCTCAATGCTGCAGGCTCTCTTGTGACTCTTACAGGTGTTGTTGGTGTGACCACTGATTCAAACGGTATTTTGGCCACCTCGACTTCAGTTATTCCTGGATCTTCTGTGTGTTCTGGATGCAATGAATATACTACAACATTCATCTCGACAGACTCGACCGGTGGTGTTGGCACTTTCACAGGAGTTGTTGATGTCACTACAGACTCGGATGGAATTTTGACTACTCTGACTTCTGTTATTTCGGCTTCTGAATGTTCTGCTTGTACTGAGTACACTACCACGTTTATTTCTACGGACTCTACTGGCGGAACTGGAACTTTCACCGGTATCGTTGACATCACTACTAATTCTAACGGTGTTTTGACCACCCTGATATCTGTCGCTCCTGCCTCTGCTTCTGAATGTGCTGGATGCACCGAGTATACTACTACGTTTATTTCTACAGACTCTACGGGAAGAACTGCGACATTCTCTGGAGTCGTTGATGTGACTACCAACTCTAATGGTGAATTAACTACGTTAACATCTATTCCTGAACCTATAACCTCTCTGTTCCTCGGGTACCATAACACTTCGAATGTGGCATCAGTTATATCACAAGCCACCCCAAGCCTGCCGTTGCGTGAGACTGTTTCTTCTGCTACTTCAGAGAATCTCGTATCTTCGAATGATGTGGAACCAAATGTGCTGGCGAAAGACGCTTCAAGTTCTCAGTCAGTGTCCTCTGGGAATGCGGAAGAGACAAGTAAAAGTACTGCTCCAATTCCTATGTCTGCTTCCCATTACTTGTCTCCAAGTCTTCAACAGCTGAGTGAATCGGTTAGAGAAGCTAGCAGTCACAACACAAAGGCTCTTATTAGTAGCGGTACTGGATCGGTTTCTATCGCCCTGCTTTCCACGGATCAATTTCAGAGCGTGGCAGATAATTCGGAGGTTGGTATTCCAACCACAAAGGCTACGGGCGTCAGATTTCCAACTACCCAACTGGGAAACTCAGGTACCGTGAGTACACTCACGTTTAAAACATCTGCTGTGGAAATCTCCCAAAATTCTGAATTTACCTCTGCACCAACAGTCAGTTTCACTGCAGGTGGAAGTCTCAAGAAAGCATCTATCTTTGCTGCGATGTTGTCTATCATTACTTCGTTCCTTCTTTAAGGAGTCATCTTTACTTTCATCGGACTTCATTTCTCTCATTTCACACTAATTTTGGACTTCTTACTTTTCCAGCATATACCCTTTTGCTTTGATCTCAATGAAATAGTTTTTTACCAACTGGTTCGTGTCCATGTAGAATTAGCATGACTTGCATATCAGGATTGTAGTAATTAAGAAAACCCAGACAAATGTACTGAGGTTTTACCAATCATTAGCCCTGTAACTTCAAATGATGTCTTCATATATGAATGGAGGGCACGAACCGAATTTCTTGAGGAGGACATTATATGAAAATGATGCTCATACTTCCTCAAGATTTAGTTGTTCAGAAAATGACAGAACACCCTATAACTAAATTATTTTCAAAACTATCGGTTTACATTTTTGCGGTTGTTGGGGAAAATGGGATACAATACATATAAAAATAAACGCACCTACAACTAGAATCAACAACCAGCTTAGTTGAGAACCTTATCTGTCTTCATTGTAGGCGGACGAATGAAGGTTGTAATACCATGTTATAATTCCTACCAAATTTCCAACTGAAGATCTGAACCCATGTCATAGCTCATAGTATGAGCCAGTCAATCTATTGTTTCATTCTTATTCGAATCTTCATCAACAACTACCATGCGAAAAATCATATAGGAATATGGGGCATTCTCAACATCTTCTATGAATAATTTCTGTATAGCCCGCCTAACAAACTTAAATATAAAATTGATGACCAACCTACACTATAATTAAAAAAAAAATTATTTTGATAATGTAGAGAATTACCTAAACTAAGACATTTGCTGCCATTGCTGCAACCACCATTGCAGCAGCAACACCACTAGTCACAGCATCTCCTTTGGAAGAAGACGAGTTACCTTTTTGAGACTTAGCCGACGAAGTCTCATGAGTTCTGTTAGAGCTAGAATTCAAATGTGCCAGAGAGGTGGCAGAAACGAAAGAAGACACCGATCCAGACCTGGTCACAGATGAAACCTTCAGATCCGAGTGGTTACTAGAAGCAGAAGAGTTTTTCGAAGCAGAAGAATGTACTCTCTCCGTAGACGAAATCAGTGCATCGGTCTTTGGGGAAATCTTCGAAGAGTCTGACAGGTTTCCGGCAAAAACGACAGCAGACAAAATAGCAGTGGAAAAAACAAGGTTGAGCTTCATAGTAAGTAGAGTAGTGAAAAGGAGAGAGAAAAAAGCGTGCTAGCAGCCATTGTTAAGTACTCCGAAGAATAAGCATGACTCCGATGATTTTTACGAAGCCGATCTGCTAGATTCGTCGAACGTTGCAGCTAATCGCGTTTGATCAACGGAGTCATTCTAAAAATAGGGTGCAGGAGACGGTGACGCCTCCTGCACAACTTTCAGGGCCATCTTCAGCACAACCAAACTGGGCGACATGGAAGTTATACACGAAACTAGAGGCTTTGGATTTTGTTGCTTCACTAACTACAGTGATGCCCAGCTCGCGAAAGAAAAAAAAATAAACCTAAAGAATGGCCCATATTTGCTAATGATTGCAAGATACATTTATACGGCAGAGCTCGAACAATGCAATATTGCAATGAAGGAGGATAAGACTCAAGAACGCTAATACTTCCCTCTCCACACATTCTCTTTCGATACTAATGTTCCATTTTTGGTCGTATGTAGAGATCTTTCAGCGGGGCGATCGACGCAATGCATGTCGCGTAGGTGCAGAAACTTATGTGCTGCGCCGCTGTTGCATTCATAGGGTTCTGTTGTGGATAAGAAACCACAAATAGACTTTCAGTAGGAATCTATTTTTCTTAATCTGCTAAACTAAAATTAAAAAGGTTTCTCGAGGTTTATTGCCAAATAACCATATAGTTCTAAGCGAAGGCATCTTTTGCAGACGTGTACGCTGATTAAATAACCCACACCTTCACAAATGCGCTTACGCATATTTTAGCCATGCACCACTGTAAACCATGCACCACTTCAACCCGTACATCATCAATGTAGTGGCTAAGTAACACAGATCTAGACTTTTAAAATTACATTTCCTTGGAGTCTTGAAAGGATGAGGACCAAGTTAAGTGGAAGGGAACAGTTTTTATAGGTTATTGTAAAATCAATACATCAGAGTGCTTCATGAGCCGGAGATAAATATTAAATGCAAGAATTTTTTTGACCAGCAGCGAGTTCAGCCCTTACTGTAGTTCTGAATCTCCTGCAGCGTGGTCCACATATAATGATACTGATTATAAATATGTGTCTAATAAAGCCAAGATATTCCACTCGTTCCCATCCCAGAAAGCAGAAAATGAAACTGGCTTTATTGTTTCTCCTTTTGTTTAGCTTTAAATATGTTATTTCCATTGCAGTAGATGATGACATTGATGAGGTTCCCATCATTCTTGAGGATGCCGCTGGCAATGCCATCACTGCTATGTACGTCAGTATAAGACTTGACGAATTCGTTGAAGTTCCCGAATGGGAGCTTCATGAGTCTGAATCCTGGATAAATGTTTCCTATATCCCAATGCATAATGTCATCTTACCTGGAATGGAACTACCGACAAGTGTCATAAGTACCGATTATGTGAATTGGGTCGATGGGACTGGAAAGTGCGTTGATACAACTTCTGGACTCCCCCTTTCAGTATGGAACATGAGCTTCAACATCTGGCAGCATCTGAGTAGATCTGACTGTGCTATGGAAACAGGGAAAGCGGGCGATCTCTACTGGAAATTCTGGACCAGTGGTGGAGATTGTAAAGGTACGACTGATCCCAAAACCATTTTCGGAGCTGTTATGGGTATGATGGAAAGAGTACTAAACGGGTTAATTTGCACTAACTATTGTATTACCTTGACTCAAGGAGGTACATGGTATGGGAACTTGATTTTAGGCCCCACATCTGCTGCATGGAGCTCTTCATGTGTCGGTGTTTACAGTGGTGACTGGGTCATGGGCTGTGGGTCGTTGGACTGGCCATGTTCATCATGGAATTAAGATCTTAGGTTATGCATTCCTTACGTCTAGCATTCTGAATAGTATTTATCTTTACAAGTTCAATATAGAACAAACAATGTATCCGCTATATTTGCGTACAGATTTTCCTTCCTTTTGAAACATTAACCTAAAAAAATTCGAAGAACTCTTGCTCAAGCAAAAATTGAAATATATGATTCATGCCGACGATCACAAACTCACTAGGGCTTTCCATTCAGCAATAATCCAATGGGGTGGTTCATTTATGTACACCGGTCTTTTATTGATTTCTAAAGCACGTTTCTCACGGTTCTAGACTAACAAGATTGGTCAGCGGATAAAATATCGAGTAAGAATGTGGACATGTCTTTTTAAATTCAGTTGTTAAAAGATTCAGGGACCATGTTAGTGAATTTTCAACGTAGCTAAAATTAGTCTGTGCTGTTCTTCAAAGCAATTCCGGACCAGCCGTCGAAAAATGTTTGTAAAATGAAAGAATAAGAGAAGAACAAAAAAAAAAGGAGAAAAAAAAAATCACGCAAAAGAGTTAACTAAAATATATCATCCAGCAAAAAAATACGCCTATCAATCAGACTGTTCTTGATTGACTGACACAAAATATTTCTTTCAAAGAGAGATGGAGAGTCCAGGTGCCTGAAATAAACTCTCTGAATAAGACTGTCTTATGTTTCATGTCCATAAAGAGGCAGCAGTTACTTTCACGAAATTTATTAGCTGTTTCCTCAACTGAGCTCACAATAACCAAATCGGAATCCCATCGGCTAAGTACCTTCAACTAATTCATCAAGATATTTATCTGCTAGCTCTACATGAGCTCATGAAAGCAAAAAGCCACAAGGTATTGAGCAAAAAATTGCGACTCCAGGGGTACGTACACAAGTTAAGTACACAAGCTAAGTACACAAGCTAAGTACACAAGCTAAGTACACAAGCTTAGTACACAAGCTAAGTACACAAGGCACGAAAAAGAGAAGAAGAGGGATAAAATAATCCTTCAATAGAGGCAAGGAATCAAAATGTATTGAGTTTATGAAACAATATCTTACAACCGGAATGGGAGCCAATGGCGGGCAGTTATTGGCACTTTCGGAGGCATCATGATTAGTGTATGCCATAAATTCATAAACTAATCGAATTAAGTTTCCTCTTGAAAATGATGGTCTTGTACACGTAGGCATAGAGTTCTCTCTTTTTTAGCTCAGAATCCAAGATTATTTTTTGAATGGCGTACGGCGTCTACTGCAGATTTGAGTCGCAAGCGCATGCAAACATACGTGCATAAGAACAATACAAAGTGCCGCATGAACACGCCGTTTACATGCATGTCATGCAGGTGGCTTCGCCCCCATGTACACGTATATGAACAATCTATAAGCAGAAGCTAATCAGCGAGCTTCGTCACATAATACACAGGAAGGGGTAGACTGGACCTGACAGAAATTCAATGCAATGTGAAGTTTGTGCATATACGCTTTCGTGTTCGCTTAAATACAAGACTAACTGATAATGAGACTAATTTTTCAAAGCCTCGTTCGAAGTCAATAGACGTGTTTTATATCGAGGGAATCTCAAAATAAAGTACTTTACTTGTCACGATGATATTTACTCATTGAAACTGGGGATAAAGTTTAGGTAGCTAGAACAGGACTTGCAACCTCGAGCACGTTAAAGAGGATCTAATAAGTTAATAAGCTTAGGTTGTGGTGGAACTGAAGAACTGCAGGGAAGTAAGCACCAAAGAAGCGAATAGCTATAAATAGTAGATAAACTTTGTGAAGCTGAATGCAAGTTTGCATAGAGATAGTACGGCTTTGTTACTTCGAACGGTCAATTTAAAAAGAAATTTCAATCTGAAGAGCTTGAAGGGAACAAAATTTACTGGATCAAGTCTATGATGAAGTAAGGTTGCAAGAAAAGGCAGGAGACTATCCCAGAGAGATCAAAAATGTTAGAGATAAGTAACATACAAAAACTACAAGCCTAAAGGCTAAATAAGCTAATTTGTTCGAGATTGAGCGATACAAGATATACATATGACCCACAATATTTGTCTTTCCAATTTTCTTCCGTTATCAATGTCGTGTGTAATGCGCACAACGTCTTGCGTTTTGACAGATTTTGCTCATCTTCCTCACTTTTCATGAACTATGCAGGGGGCACCTAAAATCGCCATTGGGGCAAACTAAACTGCATCGTTTGAACTTTTGTTAGCTTAAAGGATTCATTCCGTCGAAATTCAACCCAAATTGTAAATTGAAGGTTTATATTATGGTTGAATATAAGCCTGAAATCTGAAAATTCAGCCTGAAAAGAATGCGTGATGAAAATGATCTTGGTTGGCTCGTATTGCCATGTTAGATAAACTAAAAAATTTATTATAGAACATGTCGTGAATCACTTCACTCAATGATCTCTTTCATTTCAAAGCTCTCATGCAGCTGTTGAAGCAAAGGCACATAAGACTTTATCTTAGTAAATCGATGAAAATGATACATACTGGAAACCAAAAATCAAGGACAGTCACAAGATGCTCCATCAACTAGGTAAGTGTTTTTATAACTAATTTACAAGTTCTTAGAGCTGGATGAAACTTGATTGTTGCCTGGTCTCAGTATATTTCGGTGAATTATGGATGTCAATTAAAATGAATCATGATCGCTATTAGTAAGTTTTTGCAATTTTGTGACTTTATGTCGTTATATCAAAAACAAGTGTAGAGAATCAAAATTTAATTACCAGTTAAATAAAAATAGTTCAAATCTCATCTATTCACATCATAATAGAGGGTCATTTGTCGTGGTGGCCTTAGAAGTAATTTAGAAAGGCATATGAAAAGGTCCTCAAACTTAAATCCGAGGAATGTACAAAGTTTACTTCAGATTCCTTAGTTATTGTGTACATGTATATTTTGCCTTTTAAGTACATTATCGGGGTTTATCTACTACGTCTTCAAACTTTCATCTAAGTAACTGTTTTCTTACATTGGACATTTGCAATTAATATCAAATGCAATTTATGAAACATATGTGAAGGGTAAACGAGAGAAAATAGAAAAATGTGAGGACGAAAATCCCTGGGTGTAGTTTCACGAAAGATGAAAACTAAATAAGAGAAAATGTACTACTTCTTTTCATTGATTTCAGCAACAGGAAGCATCGATTTATCAAAGTTAGTTCGATGAATGTTCCTAACAAGGTAATATACTTTTTTAAAGTCATGATTGTTAATGCCTAGCAGAATCTGCTTAGTGAAAGCATTTATGGTTTGCTCCTTGCCTTCAGATACTTCAAAAAAGAGGAGAGGGAAAATCCTTTTGCACCATGAAAGTCTGTTTTAATACGATATGCCGCATAGACTCTCCTTAAACATTGCGAGTGTGCCGTTATAATTTTGAAACACAATAGTGGAGATAATTTCGATGAACAAATAAGCATTTTTTGGATGATAAAGTGTCTTGGCTTGGTGGACATGTGCAGTTAGACTTATTTTCTAAGGCCAGTTGAAAATGGAGTTGAGAAGTCTCTTCTTTTAATCAATATATCAAATCTGAGACCGATTGCCGCAATTTGAGGTGATAATTATGAAATATGATGTGATCAAAGGGGTCAAGGAATGTGATGATCCCAACTTAGATGATAAGTAAATAGCAATCATGGGTCCTGCGGATATAAACTAAAATCTGAAAATGACCTCACCCAGCCGCTGTAAAGTAAACAGATAAAAGAACGCAAATTTTGAGAGAAAGTGAGCTAACAATCAAGAGCACGCCACCTTTCAAAGAGGGGCCAGTTGCAGTACTGCTTAGTCTCTTCCTGCAAGAGGCACATACGAGGTTCAGATACCCGAATTAGTGAGGATAAAGGAAAATCTTTCAAGCAAAGCAGAAATATTAGGTCTTAAAGATTCAATAGACTACAGGTAGATCTTTTCTCAGGGCAATGTAAGTTTTGAGTTGATTATGCGAGAGGATCGAGTGGGCATCAGCTAATAAAAATGACAATCAGGCGAATTGGACAGATGAAGCAGTATATACAATAGACTTAAAAGACAATTTGATCTCATAAAGAGTCTCTAGCAAGCAATAATCACCAGGATAATTTTTGATGTTATATGGGTAGGTTTGATGGAACATTGGCAAGATCGATTGGTCTGAAAATACAGTCTATGAAGTAAGCGACGTATAAGTAAACTTTTACATTGAAAGTCTCTATAGTTGATTGCTTCATTTGGCACTGATTTTGAGAAGAGTTCATACTCTTACCTACACCGTTGACGGGAGTTCCAAAGCTCATTTTAAAATCACCCTTCCAAGATGACTTCAAAAGCATCTGGTTCAAGTAAAGCTAAAGTCGTCTCATTTTGATAACTAGAATTTATCAACATTCTACAACAACATTAAAGAAAAAAAAAACGAAAATACATAATCAAAGAAAGATCTTATTGGGCGGCTTTTGGAATTTAAGACTTGTCGCATGGCTACATTAAAAATACTCTTCTATGCAGCATACCAATGCAGAACGTAGCACATACGATATTTGTGGCCATTGAACGGTGCATCAGAAAGATGCAATGAGGTCATGTTTCCCATAAAAGTAATTGAAGCGCAATTGTAGCTCCCTTAAATGCATAGTTTTAAAAATTGACGAGACGCACCAAGTTAAAATAAATCGAACATACGAAGATCATTGTTGATAGGTATAGTAGATATCCCTTCTAGCGGTAGACTACAGGCTTGTAAATCAACATACCAGTTTAATTGTAGCAGAAATATGTTTTGTGAGTGCTGTGTTCAAACACGAATAGATAAATATGACGCTAACGTGAACAGTTGAGTATTGATATATGCACGCAGTAATTTAGGCAAAGGCTGAAATCTCTTAAGGGTTCTTCAAGCCCGGAATTTCACATACCTTGACTTCCTGTCTCGGAATTAAAAGATCAAGAGTACGTGCATAGTGTATTCTTCGTGCGAGTGCATAATGTTGCTAACATTTACCCAA